TGAGCAGAAAGTCCAGAGGCCCTCCTTGAGGGGGGATTCCTGGGGAAAGGGCCATTAGCACCACCAGGCTCCAGGAAGATGAAAGAGGCCGAGACTCTGAGACTCTCGAGGGAGGCCGGGGGCTGCCTGCAGAGACAGAGGGAAAGCGGTTGGTTAGGACACAGTCTCACTCTAGCCCCGATTCCTCCTGTCTTCTCAGGGAAGCCTCATTCTCACAGGACTGTGGGCTTTGGCACAAGTCAAACTGACAGGAGAGCGGGTCATGGAGGAGGGGGTGTCTTCTGGGGCAAGGACACTGGGTTTCTGTATTCCTACCTAGAACATAAATGGCCTCTAGCCCTTACCTCAGCCCCACTGGCCTGGCCCCGCTCTCTGCCACTGTGTAGCCAGGGCGAGGCCAGGTGGGATCATACGAAGACCTTGGCTAGAGCATCAGCACCAGCACTGGCAATAAGTGCCTTGCTGGGATGGCAGGCCACTGCATGGATGGCCTCCTCGTGCTTCTTGCGGTGGGCCGTGATCTCCTGCACACACGTCTTATTGTCTAGGCTCCATAAGCGCAGAGAACAGTCATGGCCTGCACAGGTGGGGAGCAGAAGAGGCTGTTACCAAGCTTGAGCTCAGACCTCACGTAAAGGTCTCGGGGCAGAGGCAGCTCAGCCCTCTTCCTCCCACGGCTCTGCTTTGTTCCCCATCCTGTCAACCATTCTGCTATCCTATCTAAGAACCCTGGGAGGAATGGTGCAGACAAACAGGCAGTTCTCGGCCTACAGAGAGACTGAGCACGAACGGCTTAAAGTGGTAGAGTGTGGCTCAGACACTGTACACTGGCCTGGCCCACTCAAGGCCCAGGGTTCTATCACCAACACAGCAGAGAAGAAAGAAAATGGCAGACACTAGCCCCAGGTGATAGGGGGAAAGACATTGGCCTAAGGAAGGGGAGCCTTCCAGGTAGAGGGATGGCCAAGAAGAGCCCAGGGCAAGCAGCCGATGAGGGCAGGGACTTGAGGGTGGAAATGAAGCCAGCAGACTGGCCTGGGCTAGGGCCTGTACTGGGCACGGGAGGGCATGACTAGCCTGAGGCTCTGCTCCTCAAGCTAGCTGCCAGAAGCAACTGACAGGAGAGCGGGTCATGGAGGAGATCTCAGGCTTGTCTGAGCCTCAGATCTCAGGCTTGTCTGAGCCAGGACGGGGTCTGACACCACTGGCAGGGAGCAGGAGGTCTGGGGTGTAGCTGTTCAGCCAGCACATGGTCACACCAGACCAAGCGAGCTGTGATCTGCTCAGAGCCTCCACCGCCACTGCTTGGGTATCTGCAAGCACCTGTGCACACACTCGGTGCAGCTGACACTGGTCTGAGAGACCTGTCCGCCCATTCGAAAGTAGACAGCTGCTAAGCCTGCATCTCAGCTGCCGAGCCTATCTCTGAGAGCAGAGAGGGACCAAGCGCTTAACCTCTGGGGGGATCTGGGCCTATCACTACAGACCTACAACATGAGGACAAACCCCCAGGCAGGGCTACCAAGGACAGTCAAAGAGGCTAAGGCAGGAATTTCTAGCACACATAAGGGTGGAGTTGCTTGCCATGGCTGCGGCCCCTTCTCTTTGCTTCCAACCCTCCTGAGGAAGGGGCAGCAAGAGGGGCCCAACTTACTTCCTGACATCAAGAACACGCCATTGGGATCCACAGCTAGGCAGGTAACTGCGTCCAGGTGGGCAACCATAGAGTGCACGGATTTACCTGGAAGTGGGGACAGAGAGTGGCTGGGGGGGGGGGGAGCCGTGTCCTGGCTGAGAGCCTATAAGGCAGACCCTAGGTTCTGGCAGTCTGAATGTGCTCTACCCCTGTATGCCCCACCCCCTGTTCCCAAAAACACTGTGAGGGGACAATGAAGGCTGGGCCTCACCTGTCCGATTGTCCAGGAAT